CTTGCCCATTTATTCAGTGCAGTGGGGTTTCGTGCCCTGGGCCCTTGAAAAGCACATTTTGGGAATGGAAGTGCTACTGGAAGAAGGCAGGTAACTAAGGTCTTCAGGGTCCCAGCTCATCACCTCTCATTGGCCTCCCGGCGAAATGCCATCCATCAGGGGCACTGAGCGACAAGCCCTCCAAATACTTCCCAAGGCGCTGCCCTGTTTTATGCCTTCCACGCTGAGACAGCAGATCGTTAGCTCAGAGCCCCTGGGTTGTTTCCCGCAGCAATTAACTGCTGCCCTGGTGTTAATTCCAATCAATAATCCCCCTGCCGCAGCTCTTACAGCTGCCTGGAGGCTGCGACCTCCATAGCACATTTTGGAAGTAACTTGCTGGGGCAGTGACCCCTAGCCTCTCCAGGAAAGCCCTCACCAGGCTTCCTCATGACAGCAAGTATCCTTCAGTGAGTGTCGGGGGCAAGGGACAGCATGAGCAAGCAGGGGTTCTAACACCTCTTTCATGTCCCGTGACAACTCAGGAGACAGACCAAACCAGCTCCCCTCTGGTATCCCTTGGGATATTCACAAAGCTTTCATTTTTCTATTTTGGCTTTTTTTTTAGAATTCTTTTGTTTTTTTTCTGTTTGTTTTGAGATGGCTGTCTTTTTCCTCCATCTAAAAAAACCCTCTCTCATTCAAATCAGTCCCCCCCCCCCTTTTTTTTTTATCACAGAACCACGGTTTCTCATTTCTTGCTTCTGTTGCTTCCTTCAGCTCCCTGTGGACAGAATGAGACCCGGGAGGATGGCAAAATAATCCAGTTGCCTCCCTGCAAGACGGGAGCCTGGATTGTGCCGGCCATCATGGCCTGCTACCTTTTAGTGGCGAACATCCTGCTGGTCAACCTGCTCATCGCGGTCTTTAAGTAAGTGGGTCCTTCCTCAGAGGACTTGGGATGGAGTGGGAGGCTGGGGGAGGGCAGGCTCTGGTGCCTCAGAAAGGAGTGGAGCTTCTCGCTTGATTCTCTCTCATTTCTATTTCAGCAATACATTCTTTGAGGTAAAATCAATATCCAACCAAGTGTGGAAGTTTCAGAGGTATCAGCTCATCATGACTTTCCATGAAAGGCCAGTTCTGCCCCCGCCTCTGATCATCTTTAGCCACATGACCATGATATTCCAGCATCTGTGTTGCCGATGGAGAAAACACGAGAGCGACCCAGATGAGAGGGACTACGGCCTGAGTAAGCTTCGGGTGACAGCCCTGGGCCACCACAAAGTAGGAATTCCTACTACCTCCTGCAGACAGTCATGTAGGACCCCGTGCCCACCTGGTTCCTCTGGCATCCCGCAGACTGCTGACAGCTCTGAACACTCGGGAGGGCCCTGGAGGGTGCGCTTCCATGGGAAACAGTGCTGAAAAGACATGAGAGGCTGAAATGGAGCATTCGTAGCCTCACATCTTTCTTAGGGAATAAAACCAGTCCTCCAGCAGAGCTGTTTTAGCACCTTCATAGGTTCTAAACTTCGTGCCATCCAGAGAGGCCCCACCACAAAATATATGCACCATATTAATGTGCTCCCGATGCTACATTATATATAAGGCAGACATCATTACCTGGGTTGAGTTGGGTTGCAGGTGACTAAGTTTGATTCTCCATGATCATTTCTGGAGCTATCATTTTTGGGGGGTCTTAAACATTCCCCAAGTCTTAGGAAGTCATGTATGACTTCATGAGGAAACCAGCCCTGCTCTCTATTAGTCAAAGGAAAAACAGAAAACGCTCCACCATCCACATTCTACCCAGTGTTTCTAAAAGGAGGCTCTATTGGCTTTGGGGTGGAATAATTCTTCAGTGTGTGGGATTGTCCCACACATTGCAGAAGATTTAGCACATCCGGCCTCCACACATTGAATACCAGTAGCTCCTGTAGGTCCCTAAATGTCCCTTACTACCCCACCCACAGTTAAGAACCACTGAGAATCAAGCCCCGTACAAGCAAGCTCCTGTGGTTTCTCAAAGTGTGTCAAATAGACGGCCTATACTAAATCTACTGAACCAAAGCCTCTGGGATTGTGGCCCAGGAGGTACCTCTCGGTGATCACTAGTGCTCTAAAGCTCAAACCAAAGCCACTTCCTCAACTGCCTCTCGAAGTCTGAAGCTTTTAACAACTTCCCTGACAAAGCAATGCCCAACTTTGTTCTAGACATTAAAACTAGAGAGTTGAAGAGGGCCAGGAATTCCAGAATTCACTCTTTCCACCAAAAACACAAGTCTAGGCAAATAGAAAGCTTCGAGGGAAAAAGGTTCAAATTTCCACTAGGCTCTTTCTACAGTGTATCACTAATGAATTACTCTCCCTGATAGTAACAGAAAACCAGACTAACAACAACACAAATCAATAAAGTTCTATTTTTCTCAAGCAATAAAAAATGAAGAGGGTCCAGAGCTCAGCAATGGCTCCCTGAAGTCAAAGACCCCAAGTCCTGTTTTTAGGCTCCGCTATTCGTTATTGCACTGTCTTACCTCATGGTAGCAAAATAGCTGCTGTGTTCCCAGTCATCACATTCACGTTCAGGGCAGGAAGAGGGGGGAAGGTGAGAAAATGTAGAGAGAAACAGCTACCTCTGACTAGTTTATCAGGAAAGCAGAACCTCTTCCCAGCACACCACCCCTCCCTGCAGCAGACTTCTTTCTCTGGAGCCGAACTGGGTCCTGTGGCTGTGGCTGCTACCAACTTTAGAGGGGGCTGGAGATGTGGGGATGTGGCTTTCCAGCCTCAGTGTGTGTGTCTGCCTCACTCCACAAACCAGAAACTGAACTTTTGAGTAACCTGCTTTTTCTTTGATTTAGCTCCTTTCTCAGCCTTACACTATGTATAATTCTAACCAGTCCCTGCAGTGAACCAGATACACTGAGGACAACTTCAGGACTCCATAGTGAGTCTAACGCACGAGAGGAGGACAGTGACAGAGGTTGCCCAACGGGGTTTGGATTTAGCCTGCGACTTCGTAAAGAATGTCAGCCCCTTTTCTTAGCCTTGATTAAATGAGGAATGTCATTAGGCCCACAGATCTGATGCCATTGCTCATCCTTCCTGTCTTATATCTCTCCCTTTTTTTCCACAGAACTGTTCATAACTGATGATGAGCTCAAGAAAGTACACGATTTCGAAGAACAGTGCATAGAGGAATATTTCAGAGAAAAGGATGATCGATTCAACTCGTCCAACGATGAGAGGATACGGGTGACTTCAGAAAGGTACGTTCCATGGACACGTGCCTCTCACAAGGATGTTTTTTGTCGTGGCATGCCTTATTGATTGTTTTTGTTTGCACAGTCCCCCAAAACAGAGATCCCCCTTGTGTTTATTCTTATTGTCTAAGCTTATGAGAGAATGGAACATTGTCCGAAGCATTTACAGACCAAAATCCCATACTTATAGATCCTGGACTTCTCCAGGAGGCAGTAGCACCCACTCTCCTGGACACTAGATTGTTGAGCCTAGGACAGGGCTTGCTGGCTCAGACTAGAAATTGGAATGTTCCAGCCCAGACACCAACCATGAGAGACTCAGCCCAATGCAAGGGTCTCCAGCACGTTGGTGTTTCATGTAGATCTCTGGGCATCTTTTCAGGAGGAGTAGAACAGTCCTCGTATGTCGTTTATATGGGTGTCCAGTGCCTTCTGAATCAACGGCAGCGAGAGACTTGTGAATTAGTTACAATAACGGGTGAGGGATTTTTTTCAGAATTATTTTGTTTTATTCTTTTTATAGAACAAGATAAAAGCAAAGGAAGAGAAGCAGATTCTTCTACCCAGTGGTGCTATACTTTTAGATCTCACTGGCCAAATAGTTTTGTGGACCAGTAAGACTATAAGAAAAAAAAAATCCCAAAATATAAAGAAGAGAATCCTGGAAATGTAATAAATCTAGCTTAATGCAAAGGAATTTACATTTTCTGATTTTTCTCATTTGGCTGTAGACTAATAAAAACTTCATTCTGGGCTGGCATGTTCAAAACCCAGCATTTGGGAACCACTGTGGTAAAGAACGTGCAGACTATTACAAAGCATTGATGTAACTTTAAATTGTAAGCCTTTGAGATATGAAGATGGCACTATTATAAATAGTGGGAAAAGGCATTATATTGATGCCTTCAGTTGATATGATTTAGACTTCTAAGATATGAGTCAGTGACCTCGAGTTTTCAAGAAATGACATTTTATCTGCTCACCCACTTCGTACACTCTCTAGTGGCTCTGTAGAAATTACACAAGTGGCATTCTTCTGTCCCTGGCTCTTCATTTCTTTAAAGAATGCAGTCTAGATAAGCAGGTATATACACACATGCCATTGAGTGATTGTGTCCATTGGTACTCAGCCAATATTAACAAAGTTTAAAGCTGTGCACACATTCTATGCACATCTCTCATTGCACAGTAGAGCATTCTAGGGTGATATGATGTGAAGCAATTTTCTGGCAAACAGAGGAAGAGGAGCTATAAATCTAAAAATCTCTCATTCTGAGGCCTTGAAAAAGCTATTTATTAATGGACATATAGCCATGTGTTTTCCAGAAAATTGTGCTACATGGACACATTGCCTATTGCTCAAACGTATTTCCAAAGCATATGTACGAGAGACTTTGCAATGCTTTTTGACCTCAGAAAGCTACAGACCTGGGAGCAAAGAAAGGTAGGGGGAAGGAGTGTTGAGATGCAAGGAAGCCTTCACCTCTCTGGGGCACTGGAATGAGACGTACAGACACCAGCACCTGTGCACGTGTTGTGACCATGTCACCAATTCCTTGGAACTGGATAGAAACAGGAAGGAACTATATATAGCACCTTCACCTGAGCCTCTCACCCCCCACCTGCAAACACTTCCAGGAGACCCCTTTCCCAAGACCCTCTTCCTCTCGGGGTGGTTACAGAGCTATGCCCTCAAGGATGATGACCTAGGTGAGCAATTCCCAGAAATTCTGGACAGATCATAGGCACCCCCTTCCTGTGTCTTCCACATGAGCTGGCTTTCTGAAGGAACGGGGGGCTGGAGGACCAGGACAAGTTCACAACCAAGCCCAGGTGCCAGAGAAGTGAATCTAAGCCCAGGCGTCATCCTACTTCTGTTGCTTCTGTTTTGATTTGCAAGTGTACCAAAAAATAAATCTTTAAACACTAGAATTGCACTCCACAAAACATAAACACCACAAGGTGCATCAGGGAACAAAGATCAACCAATGAAGTAGAGGATCATATTATCCGTCTCACGCATTCTCTAGGACATCTCCTTTCTGAGTGGAGTGTCAGGTGAAATCACCTGTCCTATTTACATTCAATAAATATATAGATAATAGAGATAATAAATGATAGATAATAATAGATAATATACACACACATTTGGATAGGTACATATGTTTAATTTACATAATTAACTATACACATAGTATATAGGGTATTATATAATTCTCCCTTCATGTTAGACAGCCCCAATACAGGGATTTGAGATCAGAAAAATTAAGAGCTGGCTCTGCCCTGCTAGAAGACTTGGGAAAAAGGTTTCTTTACATAGCGAGCCCCACGCTCCTCTCTCTACCACTGCGTGTAAAACATAACTTATTTATATAAGTTTTACTTGCAGAAACCTTTTTAGAAATACAAAGATACTTCCATAATTGTCAACTTAAATGCATCATTCCTAAGTCATATTTTTGTACCCAAATGGTATCTAAAGAGCGCAATACAATATTCGGGAGATCATTAACACCTCATAAGAATCGATTCTGAAAAATCCTTCTTTTTCCCATTTTATATACATATTTATCTTTTTCATTTTATCTCAAGACAGAACCAAGACATTGGCATGACTCCAAAAATAGCTTCCATGACAGCATTGGCCCCTGTTCTACCACCTCTCCTTTGGTTAATAACCAGCTAGGTATCCACGTTTCTCCCCTCAGCCCAGGGTGTCAGCCCACCCTCCCTGCTAAAATCATAATGTACTCCATCAAAACATGATGCATGTGCGTTACTGTATTGGTCTGGATTATCAAGATAAGATGAATATTGTGCCCATAAAGTCTCCTGTTAATGAACCTATCTTTTTATTTTTTTTTAAAGATTTTATTTATTTATTTGACAGAGAGAGACATAGTGAGAGAGGGAACACAAGCAGGGGGAGTAGGAGAGGGAGAAGCAGGCTTCCCCGCGGAGCAGGGAGCCCGATGTGGGGCTCGATCCCAGGACTCTGGGATCACGACCTGAGCTGAAGGCAGACGCTTAACGACTGAGCCACCCAGGTGCCCCTGCACCTATCTTTTTAAAGTACTCAAAAGGTACTGAGCTATTCCATAATGCTGTCTAGAATTTACGTTGAACTCATATAGTTCCTAGAACTCAGGAACTTCTCATATAAGAAAAACCTTTTCCTATCTCCAGTCTCCTGGCATTTCTTTTTTATTTTCCCACTGGTTTTTAAGGGTTGCCTATGTTTTCTGGTGATCACAGCTGCAAGTTCTTTTCTGGTTTCTTTAACTCATTTAAAGCAGGGTTTGCAAACTGGTGGCTCGTGGGCAACATTTGCCCACAGAGCGCTGTTGGGTTAGGCTCGCAGTGATTGTTAAAATCCATTCTGAATGCCTCTGGCCTGGGCATGTCCTCGGCTGCCACAGAATCCCTGCTTCTGTCCTCACAGGCTTCCCTTCTTCACCTATCTCCTCAATCTGCCCTCCCCGTAGGCGTTTAGCTCTCAGACCCCTGACTTACAGCTTCCAGATCATCCTCCCCATCACCCCACCTGTCAAGTTCCACTTGTCAGAAGAAGTTGCAGTTTGAATTTTCTTCTCTCCAGGAACAATTTAAGCAAATAGGATATACATTGTTTCTAGCATCGTTTATCTAACATTATCTTTCCTGAGCCAAAGGGCTTTGTGCCCTTTTTGCTCTTCACCTAGATCCAAAAAAAGGAATAGTCATGTGACTATTAATAGTGTATTCAACTTCTAATTTTCATAACAAAGGGAGACAAGAATAACTTAGGATATATGAGTCTCATAAGTAATCAAAAACCGGCATAAGCCAAAAAAGAACTTCACCCACCTCCCAACCATATCTTTTTCCAGTGCTGATCTTTGGTATCTCCACTGACTGAGTTGGATTTAAATTGCGCTCCCTTTTTCTTCCCAGAATGACGAGAAGGATGACTGGCCCAAAGGGAAGGGAAGGTGACCCTAAGGGACTTAAATAATTCACAAATTAGATACCAGTCTGTGGATAAGCAAGACTTTGCTTTATTTGTTCTGCATCATTGCCTTTCATTTGAAAACCTGTGTAAGCATACCCTGTCCCCCCACAAGAGGCCCTGTGATTGGTTCGTGTGATATGGGATTGTGTTTGCCCTTCCTCCTGTAGCCATCCTATTGCTAGCCCTCCGGGGAATATTTTTTAATTTAAATTCAATTTAATTAACATATAGTATATTATTAGTTTCAGAGGTAGAATTTAGTGATTCATCAGTTGCATATAACGTTAACCCGGCGCTCATTCCATCATGTGCCCTCCTTACTGCCCATCCCCCAGTTACCCCAGCCCCCCACCCACCTCCCCTCCAGCGACCCTCAGTTTGTTCCCTAGAGTTAAGAGTCTCTTAGGATTTGCCTCCCTCTCAGTTGTCATCTTATTTTATTTGAGATTTAAAACAGGCATGGTGGGGCGCCTGGGTGGCTCAGTCGGTTAAGCATCTGCCTTCGGCTCAGGTCATGATCCCGGGGTCCTGGGATTGAGTCCCACATTGGGCTCCCTGCCCAGTAGAGAGCCTGCTTTTCCCTCTCCCTCTGCTGCTCCCCCTGCTTGTGCGTCCTCTCTCTCTTTCTCTCTCTTTATCAAATAAATAAATAAATAAATAAATAAATAAAACAGGCATGGCCTGCCAATCCTCATTTTTGTTTTACTGCATTTCCTTTAACCACATTTTGAGGTTATCAGGAAAGAAAATGAACTTGTAGAAAATAACAGTTCTTAAGAAATTGCATTTTGGGGGCGCCTGGGTGGCTCAGTCGTTAAGCGTCTGCCTTTGGCTCAGGTCATGATCCCGGGGTCCTGGGATCGAGCCCCGCATCGGGCTCCCTGCTCCGCGGGGAGCCTGCTTCTCCCTCTCCCACTGCCCCCGCTTGTGTTCCCTCTCTCGCTGTGTCTCTCTCTGTCAAATAAATAAATAAAATCTTTAAAAAAAAAAAAAAAGAAATTGCATTTTGAAGCTGAAATTTTCTGTGTCATTGGCATCTTCTTGTGAATGCCCTTTTCTTCATCATATTGGCCATTACAGGCTGGCTGTCTTCTTCCCTGGGCTTTTCACCAACCCATTTCGTGCCCTCTGGTGGGGTCCTGGCTGTCCCTTTCTTGGGCATCCAGGGACAGGAGACATCTCACGTCCTTCCAGGACCCCGTTGTGTCCCTCTTGTGCTTGCCTCCTGAGTGATGCTGAATAAGCCCTGTGAAGCCCAGAAACATGAAAAAGGGAAAGAAAAATAGAGTGTTCTTCCCACACAGCATCTTCCTTTCCATGGTCCCTCTTTTTTTCCTTACTTAGTGACTTCCTGTATCTCTCTCCTTGAGACTTCCTATTGATTAATAAATTCTTACCATTCTTACCTCCGTTTTATCTCCTGAGTGGTTTGACCAGAGTCAGCAACTAGTGACTGCAATCGTGACCCAAAACTCTCGGCTTGTCCCTCACACCTATTTATATCAGTGACGCACACCCATGTACAATCACTTCTCAAAGAAATGTTTTAAGATTAAGGGAGGCACTCTGTTTATCGAAAAAAACCTATGTAAATTTGATTCCAAGATCTTTTCTTCCTTTATAACTCCTGTATTAAACCTCTACAGTTATATTCATGACCTAAATGATCATACCGTTTGGTGGTTAAACACATCCAGAAATCTGGGAGAAGATGAATGAAACAGCCCATCCCCCCCTCTCCCTGGCCCCCCCTCTCCCCGCCCAAGTCTTACATTTCAAAACACCTCAGCCCACAGGAGAACCCACTGAGGAGAGATTTGGTGAAGAATTGCTCCTTGGTCCTGTTCTAGCTGTCTTCCCCACCACCTCCCACTGTTCCATTCCCCGGGGCCATGCTCCTTTCCTTTGCTCTTGAGGTTCCCCCTGGGCACCTCTTTGCTTTCCTTGAAAACCCTCTTTCCCCTTGTACCACCTCTCTGTTCTTCCCATCCCGCTGGGCTCCTTAGTTTCTGTCTTGTTTACTATCCACGACCAGCTCCTAACTCTTCCATTGCCTCCTGGTGCCTTAGCTGTACCTCTCATCTGCTACTTTTCTCTGCAGTGTTGGATCCTTGGGCTGAAGGCAGGTGGGACGCAGGGAGGGAGCTCCCCACAGAGCAGGGAGATAACTTTATAGTGTTCAGACCCATGATCACAGGCAGTTATGCTAAAAGAGTATCTTTAGCTCTTTCCATACCAACCTTGTATATACCAGGTTCCAGGAAAGGAAGAAGAGGGAGGAAGAAAACGATCCTGCCCTTTTTGACTCTGCCAACACTAAACAACTAGAAGGACCCAGTGCCTAGAGCATCCAAAAGGGAAAGTCTCGTTCTACAAAAATGCATCTCTCCTGCTCCTGACTTTAATGAGGACGTATTTTACCCACTTGCCCAAAGCTTATTGCGTTGCAAAAAATGAAACTGCAGTACTTGCAAAACCAAATTGCATAGACTACATGGTGACAAAGTGAATCGTGAGTCTATAAGACACACAAACTTACTATTGTTAAGTAGTTTGTTTCTCAGGCTATGTTTTACCACAAAATGAACTGAAACAGGGGAAAGTTGTATTTTCCTCCTGAATCAGCTGCGTTAGCTGGGTGAAGAGCATTGCGTTTGCCAGATACAGAATTGCTCTATTTACAAGTCCTTTAGGAATACACCTGGGCGTGGCGGCGGAATGTTCCCGGACCCTGGGAAGTGCTGTGTTCTGGAGCATCAGGAGGACGGCTCCAAGGCAGGGCTCATGAGGGCAGTCCAGACCTCGGGCTGGGTGAAGGGAACCTGAAAGATAAAAGAGCAGAGTGGGTGGAGGGAGTTGGGGGGTAGAAGGGCTATTGCTGATAGAGGCAGAAATGTGGCCCGAGGCCAGAGAATCACACACACCCACTCTGGCCGCAAGAGTGGTTTTGTTTGTTTGTTTTTGTTTTTGTTTTTTAAAGCCTAAAGGTCTGGGGCGCCTGGGTGGCTCAGTCGGTTAAGCGTCTGCCTTCAGCTCAGGTCAGGATCCCAGGGTCCTGGGATCAAGTCCCGCATGGGGCTCCCTGCTCAGTGGGGAGCCTGCTTCTCCCTCTCCCTCTGCTGCTCCCCCCTGTTTATGCTCTCTCTCTCTCTCTCTCTGTCAAATAAATAAATAAAATCTTAAAAAAAAAGAAAAGACCTTCAGGTCCTCAGAGAGGGGAACCATATGCCTCTTATTCCTCCTTGGGGCACTGAAACGTGTATTCTTCTCTGATGGAGGTGTGGCTACTTTTAACATATTGCCGCCATCACCCCCCTTGCCCCCATCACAAGAGCTGGGGGGACCCAGCTCCAATTCCCACCATTGTTCCGTTGTTCATAAAGCACATTCTATACCCGCCGGCATGTTTCTTTGAAGGGTCAGCCGTCAGGGGCCTTACTGTGCACACTGGGAGTACTGGAAAAGTGTCTTTATCTTCAGCCTCTCCAGAAAAGTTGTGAATGGATCTCCTGTAGAGCCTCCCAAAGATTTGCCTTGGGGCATTTCACAGTGAAAGTTGAAGGTCAAAGCAAAGCTTGGCTCTGGTTTCTCCTTTCCCAGTCAAGTGAAAGCTGTGGCACAATTTTATTTTATTTTACTTTTATTTATTTTTTATTTTTTTTTAAGATTTTATTTATTTATTTATTTGAGACAGAGAGAATGAGAGACAGAGAGCCTGAGAGAGAGGAGGGTCAGAGGGAGAAGCAGACTCCCCGCCGAGCAGGGAGCCCGATGCGGGACTCGATCCCGGGACTCCAGGATCATGACCTGAGCCGAAGGCAGTCGCTTAACCAACTGAGCCACCCAGGCGCCCATATTTTTTTATTTTTTTAAAGATTTTATTTATTCGACAGAGAGAGACACAGCGAGAGAGGGAACACCAGCAGGGGGAGTGGGAGAGGGAGAAGCAGGCTTCCCGCTGAGCAGGGAGCCCGATGCGGGACTCGATCCCAGGACCCCGGGATCACGACCTGAGCTGAAGGCAGTCACTTAACTGACTGAGCCACCCCAGCGCCCCACAATTTTATTTTAAATATGTGGACTCTGTCTTTGTAAATAAATATCCAGGCAGCCTACTAGACCATTGGAATCAAGTTCATAACCACGATTGTCTAGGTGAACTGTTAGTGACATCTGGCAGCATGGCAATGGAAAAAGGAATCTGAGACAGATCACGCCCTTGAGAATTTCCAGTGGGGAGGGTGAAAACGTCTAGAAATAACTGTAAAAGAAGGCATCTGTGACCAGCTATCCAGAGAGACACAGAGAGAAAGAGAGAGAAGAGTAGCAAAATTTACTTGTTGATACACACTCTAGGGTTTACCACAAATTACTTTATGTAAACTTGGTTAAATTCCTTGATGTTTGCTTTTCCTTTATTAATGAAAGTCTTGGGTTAAATTAGATCACCTCCAGGTGCCTCAGTGACAGGACTGTATTAATTCCTTTGGAGGCGCTAAATTTTAAAAAGATTATTGTGAACAGCAACAACAAAAAGAAAGATTATTATATAAATGCAAAATAGGGTCACCTGGGTGGCTCAGTTGGTTAAGCTTCTGCCTTTGGCTCAGGTCCTGATCCCAGGGTCCTGAGATCAAGCCCCAAGTCCAGTTCCCTGCTCAGCGGGGACCCTGCTTCTCCCTCTCCCTCTGCCGCTCCCCCTGCTTGCACACACACTCTCTCTCTCTCTGTCAAGTAAATAAATAAATAAAATCTTCTAAAAAATAAATAAATGCAAAGTAAAAACAACCCAGTCCATACTCCAAGTCTTCCTCAGTCTTGTGGACACTGCCACGAGAAAAGCTGCCTTCTGAAATTCTGTTGTGCACTTCTGAGTAAAGCCATCAAAAGGCAACATTCTCATTTTGGTGGTGACTGATTAAGCCGACGCCCTAATCCTTGGTTAGTTCATTAAACCCCGCCCCAAGTCCCAGCTAAGTCATGAGGTGCTTTGGCCCCACTCCACTTCAATAAGAACTAGTCAACTTTGGTGTTTATTGGGATTGTGCATTAAATTTTACTGAGTGGAAAGGGGTTTGGTAGATAAATACCACTGGATTAGATCATCTCTCAGGCCTCTTCCAGCTCAAAACGATTTAGATTCTCCAGAGAGGAACCCGGCCTTGCGTGACCCTCATTTTGTTTCTCTCCCAGGGTGGAGAACATGTCCATGCGGCTGGAGGAAGTCAACGAGAGAGAGCACTGCATGAAGGCCTCGCTCCAGACCGTGGACATCCGGCTGGCACAGCTCGAGGACCTCATCGGGCGCATGGCCACAGCCCTAGAGCGCCTGACGGGTCTGGAGCGGGCTGAGTCCAACAAAATCCGCTCCCGGACCTCGTCCGACTGCACAGACGCCGCCTACATCGTGCGCCAGAGCAGCTTCAACAGCCAGGAGGGGAACACCTTCAAGCTCCAAGAGAGTATAGACCCTGCAGGTGAGGAGACCATGTCCCCAACTTCTCCTACCCTAATGCCCCGTATGAGAAGCCATTCTTTCTATTCAGTCAATATGAAAGACAAAGGTGGTATAGAAAAGTTGGAGAGTCTTTTTAAAGAAAGGTCCCTGAGCCTACACCGGGCTTCTAGCTCCCACTCGGTAGCAAAAGAGTCCAAAGCTCCTGCAGCCCCTGCAAACACCTTGGCCATCGTTCCTGACTCCAGAAGACCGTCTTCGTGTATAGACATCTATGTCTCTGCCATGGATGAACTGCACTGTGATATAGACCCTCTGGACAATTCCATGAACGTCCTTGGGCTGGGTGAGCCCGGCTTTTCGGCTCCAGCACCTTCCACAGCTCCTTCAAGTAGTGCCTATGCAACTCTTGCTCCCACAGACAGACCTCCAAGCCGGAGCATTGACTTTGAGGACATCACCTCCATGGACACTAGATCTTTTTCTTCAGACTACACCCACCTCCCAGAATGCCAGAACCCCTGGGACACCGAGCCTCCGCTGTACCAGAGCATCGAGCGTTCCAAAAGCAGCCGCTACCTAGCCACTACACCCTTCCTTCTAGAAGAGGCCCCCATCGTGAAATCTCATAGCTTTATGTTTTCTCCTTCGAGGAGCTACTACGCCAATTTTGGGGCGCCGGTGAAAACAGCAGAATACACAAGTATTACAGACTGTATCGACACAAGGTGTGTCAATGCCCCTCAAGCGATTGCTGACAGGGCCACCTTCCCTGGCGGTCTTGGAGGCAAAGTGGAGGATTCATCCTGCTGCCATCCCGAGCGAGAAGCAGAACTGAGTCACCCCAGCTCTGACAGCGAGGAGAACGAGGCCAAAGGCCGGAGAGCCACCATCACAATACCCTCCCAGGAGGGTGATAACTCGGACAGAACCCTGTCCAACAACATCACGGTTCCCAAGATAGAGCGTGCCAACAGCTACTCAGCAGAGGAGCCAAGTGTGCCATATGCACACACCAGGAAGAGCTTCTCCATCAGTGACAGACTCGACAGGCAGCGGAATACAGCAAGCCTGCGAAATCCCTTCCAGAGGAGTAAGTCCTCCAAGCCGGAGGGACGAGGGGACAGCCTGTCCATGAGGAGACTGTCCAGAACATCTGCCTTCCACAGCTTTGAAAGCAAGCACAACTAAACCTTCTTAATAAGCATTGCAGAAGGCTCAAGAATCCAGCCCTAAAATTCTCCCTGAACCCCACCTGTTCCCCTTCCTTGAAACGTACCTGCTTTATTCTTAGCTGAGCAAAACAAGCGATGCCTTGGGAGGTGTTAACTCAAAGGTGACTTCTGGGCCACAGATTGAGAAAGCACTTTGCCTAGCCCAGTGCCAAACACAGGGGCTTTAAGTCATGTTCACTCTTGATGGGTAGGGAGGGAAGAGAGGGAGAAGAAGGGCTGTGGTGAATGTGTATGTCTGGTGACTTCAGAAAGCCATGAGCTCTGGGAATGAAGGGGCTTCGAGCACTCTCCATGCCAGGAGGCATCTTTCCATTTCTGACCATTATCAAGAGTTTTAGGATACAGGGCTAAATTGCAAAATAAGATGAAATAAAGTAGCCAGCATACAAATGAGATATTCTAAACTTCAATTCTGTTTTCTTTTCACATTGGCTCCATCACTGGTGACTGATGAAGAGCATCCTTTTTATTCAGTATAAGCCGGCAGCAAGCAGTTCTACCTAACGTCCCACATCCTTCTCATGCCAACACTTCTGTAATTGATCAGTATAAAGAAAAAACAAGGTAACAGTCATAGTTCACCTGTCTCTTATATATTCACTTCTGGTGCCACAACTGTTTATCTTTCTTGAAGAAAATAAAGGGAAAAGAAATGCCTTTTTGTATTGCAATCAAAATGAAAGAAGAATTGAGGCTAAAAACAAATGTCAAGTGGTATATTATATACGGTGGGCATTCGAGTATAGTCGAGCAAGCTCAGGATGAATGTAATTACATAATTTTATATTTTTTAATTTATTTTGTATCTCACCTGTCATCAATCAAGTCACTCACTGAATATGTGATAGTGAACTAAAAGAAAAAAATATATGCAGTGGGCAGAAGTCACCTAAAATTGAGATGTGGTGTACTGTTACATTCTCACCATCCGTGTCATGTGTCATGCTGCTGTGTGATTGTCATCATTTGCATGGCTCCACCATGTCTTCTGAACATCTCTCCAAGATGTACCTGGAAATTCTTCACACCACTCATCACATGACCATTTTGTATATGAAGATCTGCTCCCACGTGGATATTTTCATACCTAGAGTTTTGCCGTTTAATCTGAGCTCAGCATAAATTTCATTGGAGTTTTTCAAGGGCTGGTATCTTTTTTATGGAAATGTTCCAAAGTACTTTTTAAGGAAGTTTCAAATCATAAATAACCTGAGAATTGACTGGGAATTTGGTATCAACCCAAAGCCATCAGTTGCAGGCATACCATGAATATTTTTCTTATATACAGAGCTATAAAAATGATACAGTAGACTCAAGTAGAAAGCAAATAAACTACGTAAAGACTTCTATAGTATATGCTGCTTATATACATATATATGCATTCACATGGAGACATGTTTATATATAGTATATAAACAGGCATATAGAGCTTTCTTAAGATTTCTTTTCTATCACCGTGAGGTATAATCAGGATATTTTCATATTCAAGGAGTTCCATTGAAAGAGTTCACTCTGTCATGTTGGATTTTTGACAGATGTTGAAATTATGTTTTTTTTTAAATCCCTGTGACCTTAACTCTTCCTTGTACCAAACTAAAGTTGCCAAAATGACTGGCTTCCTGCCCTCTGCTTGTTTTCTGTCCGCAAACACTTGCTGCAATGACATCTTATTTAGTCTGGTTTCTTCCACACAAAGTTGATTACGCTAAGTACAATCTGAATTAGACATGTGATTCTAAACCAGATAGTATTACGGACTCTTTAATACAGATGTCCACTACTAGGTCAGAACCTGGATTTGAAGGGGAATAAAGAAATCTTTAAATCTTAAAATCTTTAAAATTTTGAAGACCCTCAAATCTTCCGATTCCTACTTGCATCACTGATTTTCAAAAGAATAAAATCTTTAAGGACAATGACCTAATGTTCTTGGCCCCCAAAATACTATGTGGTTCTCCTGTTGAGTTGTCATTGTGAGCTCCAGATTTTCTCATAATGTGAAATCAAGTAAATAACGTGGACAAAAGCTCTAGCCTTTAAGTTTGTTTTTGTTTTTTTCTTAACCCCTCTGCCCCTCTGAACAAGCCTTTTGGATATAGAAATAGTTATGAGGCCACATATAAAGAATTAAAGAATTCCTTTTCACTCTTTGGTATTTGGGTGAATCGGACACAAGCAACCAGACTCCCTCATGTGTAATTGCCCTAGAAATGCTTACATTTTTTATTGAGCCCCACATTGACTGTTTCCCTTTCAGCAAACATGCCTTTGGTCTGAGAATAAATCAGTTGCCCTTAAACTTCCTTGAGTCATGCATCTCAGTGAGAATCTTATGAAAGCTCTGGGCCCTCTCCCCAGAAAAAAAATATACATACATGCAGAGTTGCAATGTAACTTGAAAGGGTTCATGTACCCCTGGTTCCATGTTGCTTGATAATGAGGAAGAGGAACCATGTTTGTTCATAATCAATACAGTTGTAATAGGCACTTTACATTTGAGACCATTTCTCTGTGATTCTCAGGAAGGCCAAGTCTCAGCACCAGAGCTGGAACCAGGATTTTGTTCTTTTCGTCCCTTAGATTATATTTTGCTAGTTTGATGTCCTTGTATCCTAATGTTTGATGATTTAAAAAGGCAGAAGGCTCTCTGAGTGAGTCTGTAGAGGAATCCAAGGAGGAGGTGAAGCCATTATTCTTTGACCACAGAGCAGGACATCACAGCACCTCTAGGGCCCCATTCTGAACCGGACGGAAAGTGAGGGAAAGAAATTATGTGCACAAGTATTTCCGTTCATCATGATTTCTGGAGAGAACAGAACAGGACCAGGGAAATGCAGTCCTTACCAGTCCTGACCTTGTGACTGCCTGGTTCTTTGGTTGTACAGGAAAACGAAGCTCTTACATCTTTCGTGAAGTGTGCAAAATATATAAGCCAAATCTAAATGACGTTAAATGTAAACCGTGCAATTCTCGTGAGCCATTTCTTTCCTGTGCACATACATGTGTATTCTCTTTCAACCCATTTCTTCCCATTTCTGGGTTCTCTGCACCCCACTGTGGCCTTGATTCAGTGGCCTTGTGCAGTCAAGCTTATGTTCAGCTCATTTATTCCATCCCGTCCCTGATCAAGGAGACGTTAATTACCTGTCTCTGTGAATTAAGCAGCTCATGAGCAGCACATTATTGAGGAACGTAAATAAAGTCATAGAGAGCTCACAGAAGTAATCGCTTTGGTTCCATCATCTGCTTCTGAGGTGCCAATTTTTACATGCTACTATACATAATGATTCGTTCTAAGTCGCTTGTTCCTTTTGGAAAAAAAAAAATCAAGGGTGTTTTATGAAAATGGCCATGGAAATTCCCTGATTGACCCACATACTTATAGTTAGAAACTTCCTCCTGGATGGATTTGAATGAGGAGCTGGAAATCTTGGACACAGTTGTCATGGCTAGTTCGTATATTTCTCCAAGCCAGAAGGCGTATTAGCAGGCAGAATACAGCACTTTACCAGAACTGGCTTTCCTTTTAAGTCTAAGCTTCCAGGTCTAGGATATATATTTAGCACTTTGAAAGTCCCCCTTAAAAAAAATATATAAATATATATATATACACACACACACACACACACATATATATATGAATAATCCAATGGGAAAAATATACTTGTAAAAACACACAGTGTGTTTCTTCTAAATGTTTCAAATATATTCTAAAAGATGGTTTCTATAGATAATATTATGGTAGATAACTGGATAGGACATTAATTCGACTTTCTGGGGCTATACAGTCTAATCTTCCCGAATGTTTGGGCTGTTTAACTTCTATCTTGGTAATCAATATTCTCCAGTCATCCATCATGTGCTATCTATAGACTGTACCATTCGATGTGTCGAGCAATGCTGTATTATAAAACACATGTACACATACATGTAACCCATGTTTCACCCAGCATAGTTGTAGCATGTGGTTGTATTAATGAACGTTACAGGATAGCTTTATAATCATTGACCAATCTGTAACATTCAATAAAGAAGCACATGTTGCAAGGATTAAGTATGTTCCCAATTCCATGTTATTCAGCATCCTCGCAAAATGAGCACTTTTGTTCCCGATCTGCTTTATGGCTTTCACAGTCCTCTAGCCCATGAGGAAATACCTGTATAAGCCGATGTACATCCTCTAACCAGCCCCGTGAGCCATGGTAGGCGAGTTGTGTTTTGCGAAAGACGAACTGGCATGTGATGCAAAAGACTCTCTGACAAATGAACTTAAAATAATATTTTAAACTCCAGTTGAATTAGCTGTTTGTTTACATCTGCTAACCCCCTGCAGAAGCAGTGTACAGTATTTTATAAATATGTTCCTTTAGTAACGCTGATATGTTTGTTTCTAGATAAAGTGATGCTACTGTGTAGGTGGTTATATATGTTCTAGATATTGCATTATGACTCACTATTCTTTAACAATAGCAATGTAACTTAAATGAAGTAATCCCTCTCCAAATCCAGTCTTAATTTCGTGGCAACAAAATGCATGCACTGCTTTATGCGTTTCTTTTGACTTTTTAAAGGCACTTAACATTTGACTATTGCCTGCTGTAACACTTAACCCAGCTAGGAATTCGCTCACGTCATTGGGCTTCTTACACTGTTTGGGGATTATGTTCGATTTTTAAAAATTAAAAACTAAAAAATAACCGAGGGGTTTTTTTTAATCTTTTTTTAAGCTCCGACCAAATAATATGAAATAAAGTATTAACCACAGGGTGTGTAGCTAGGGGACCCAGAGATGACTGGCTAACACCCATGCAGGTGTTGGTGCAGCTGTAATATAGGAAAGACACGTTTCTGATTCTTTAGGGCCACTGGGTGCAAATTGCAAAACCAGAGAGGAGAGTGAGAAGTCCATTCGGACAGTGCAGAAAGCCACAGATCATTATGAATGAGTGGCCCAATGATGCACGTGACTTCCCTCCTACCTGGTGGCTTTTCTACCTTGTGTGTGAGCCTGGTCCGGGGGAGAGGGAGGGGTGGGTGACTGGGGGTCTGATCAAGAACTGGGTGACTCTGAAGAGCTTGCCCTTTAAAGAAACCACCATGTCATTATCAGAAGCCATTCATTCAACATTTGGAAAAGAGAGGAGCCACTTTGCAGAGTCTTATAAGTGACTACTCTTCCAACCTGGAGAGAAAACTTCTCTCAGCCTGTGCTGGCCTAAGCTTTCTCTTCCCTTTCCGTGTCAAACATTCTCTTTCCCCAGATCAGAGTCAACCAAAGCAGGGCTTGGTTCTGATTTAAGGAAAACAAGGTTTTTTTTCCTTTTCTTTTTTAATTCACTTGAGAAGATCATTTTGTTACCTTTTCTCTGATGAGTTCCTTGTACTGGTCGCTGCGAATGACATCAAGACACGACGATTTCTATATGTCCGTCCAAGAAAGGATTTTGGTGGCCACGTAATCCACCTGGCAGTAAGAGTGAGGTGAATTTTCCCTTCGCTAAGTTCCCTCGTCCACCAGCCCCCTTAGGCCTCAGCCCCTTGCCTGTTTGCACAGTGTTTATGTGCTGGGAAGTGAAAAGGGCACGTAGGGCCACAAGTCCATGGGCTATCTGCAGAGCATCGGGACCAACCTTGACCCAGGCGTTCCTCAGGAACAGGCAGGCTGCCCAGAGCATTGGGTCACAGAGGGAAGTTCAGCTCTGCACCTGGATGTGCAGCCTTCTTCACCCCCTTAACTTTCTTCCTTTCTCTTAACCCAGCACAACATGCCTTTTGCCAGACCCACAGACCCTTGGTCCTATGACCTCAGTACCCCACGGAGCCTGGCTCAGTAATCTGAAACAGTGGCCCCTTGGACAAAGTCAAGCTTTCAGACTTTGTCCAGCCCTCGTCTTCCCACTAACCTAGGCTCCTCCCTCCCCGCACTCTACCCCTTACCCCAAACTCAGCTGGTGTTTGTGTCGGCCCTGTCCAATTCTTTGCCTGTCTGAACCCCAAGAGAGTCCCTCATGTCTTCCCCCCAGCTCCCCACGTATCATAAGAACCATCCATCTGCATCTAGATGGGGGGGCTGCAAGCTCAAGTACATGCAGGGGCTGGATCCAGGACACAAATGTGCCCACTGGACTCAGGAAAGACAACAGGAAGAAGTAGTGTTTGTAGGGCATGAGAGAACACGTGTCCCATGACAAAAACATTCACATTCTGATTTGTAAACACTCTGCTAGCCAAACAAACATGTCTGCCAACAGCATTCAGTCCCAATAGCAATAGTTTGGGACCTCTGATTTAGGGCCAACCAGGATCATGTTCTTGATCCTGACTTAGTGAGTGTATAGAAGAAATACACCGAGAACGGAGGTGGGGGCGGAGAGGAACTCACCCTATTCAGGGTTATTCCTGCTCTCCCGAGTGAGAGATGCATGTGTATTTGCTAGCTGCATCTTTCTGGACCCAAAGGCAGGATCTTTGTGAGGGACATATGGAAGAAGAGTACCATAGCATTGTATCAAGGCTTATCTGCTTCTTGTCACTACAGCGTCTAACTTGAGTTTATATTGCTGTTTCTGCTGTGCAAAACAGTCCACACAGTATACTGTACTCATAGTTATTTCATAATCTAGGACTTAGACTCTCATTTGTAAGCATTCTAACCATAGTTTATAACGGGGGAAATTATTCAAATATCATTTTTAAATGAATTCCTATAAATACAACAATTTTGAAATTGGGTTTGTTAAATATATATATACATCTTTTCCTTCTTTGTGTATGGATAGACCGCAGTTGGCATATCTATCGACATTATAAATATATATAAATCCTTAGAGGAATTGTTCTTTTTTAAAGGTCTATTATTGGATTCACAATGCACTTTGAGCTTGTTTGTTTAGATACATAATTCGAAGCAGAAGTTGGCAGATACCATGGGAAAAACTTTCTGAAATTTCTGTAACAAATGTTTTGCAATAAAAAGAAAAAAACTCAGTAGTTTAAAACATGACTTGGGTTTCCTTGTGCATTTATTTGCCATCGCTTGATCTCCATCATCTTCATGCCAAGAAGGGTTGGGGTATGCAGAGATAATTGCCTACAGCTCCATCAGTTAACTTGCAGAGCAGAAGTTGCAAACTGGTAGCCTGTGGAAAAGGCTACCCTGGGATGTGTCTAAAGAACAGGGAGGGTTTAATAAGACACAAGGAGGAACTTCAGGTAAGGGGAACGCTAATTTGACCAGCCTTCAAATGTTACAGTGCTTCATCCTGGTTAGAACTTCCAGGCAGCTCCATGGAATCTCCAGCATCGACCCCAGTTTTGTGAATGAGGCTTTGCTCCAACTAATCTCTTCATCTGTACCTTTCCCATTGGCTCTGTCTAGTCAATTTTTTGAAAATGGAATGGCTGGCATAGGAATTTATCATGTTTATAAATATGCACATTTATGTAACACACAATCTTCAACCACGTGCCCTCAGATTTCTTGGAAAATCAGGCCCACCATCCTTTGCTATCAAAATCTCAGATTTAGAGCTGCATAGAGCTTCCTTGAAGGAGAGATTGAGGAAGGTTGAAAAAGATTAATTCTCTAGGGCTAAGTTTAAAAGTTAATTTAGATTTAAAAGTAATTTGTCATTACTTACTTGTTGACATTACCCTATTTGATTAAGAGCCAGAACATGGCTTGTTGTATAAAGGCCTAGATTACACATCCTTAACAGTGGAAAATTCTCAGGAATTACTCCTTTTTTTCCCCTCCCCTGATCTCTGGTTGTTACCTTGGTCTCTGCCCAACAATCGCCACACTACTTATAGTTTCAGTATCTCTCAGAAGCCTTGTGCCATATCATAGTCATTATCTTATGACACAATACAGTCACACTAGAAAGGCCTTTACTCAAAATCATGAACCGTTGCACCAGTATTCTTCATCTCATGCACTAAACACCAATTTTACTGAAGACTAGTTTAGTTTGCTAGGGCTACCTTAAAAAAAATACCACAGATTAGGTGGCTTACATAACAGAAATTTTTTGTCTTATAGTTCTGGAAGCCAGAAGTCCAAGATCAAAGTGTTGGCAGGGTTGGTTCCTTCTGAGGGCTGTGAGAATCTATTCAATGCCTCTCTCCTAGCTTCTGGTGATTTTCTGGCAATCTTTGGCATTCCTTGGCTTATAGAAGCATCACACACTCTCCCTGTGTGCTGTGTCCAAATTTACTCTTTTATGGCACTCACTCTATTCCAGTGCAATCTCATCTGAACTAGTTATATCTGGCATGACCCTATTAACCAAAGTTCACATTCTGAGGTTCAAGGGGCTAGGATTTCAACATAGAAACAGTGGGGGAGACAAAATTCAACCCTTAATACTAGGTGAATTTATGAGTAAGGGTGTGGTGGTCATTTATCTTTTTAATATCTTTCAAAGTAGAGAAATTAGAATTCAGGAATCAGTTGGAAACAATATATGTACTGATCACTAGGAGAAAAAAATAGACCAATTGTGTCATACCATGGAGCCATTAACAATAATTAAATCTTTGTATATTGACATGAGAAGGTGCCATTGGTATATTGTCAAGTCTTTTTATTTTTTTTTTATTTTTCTATTATGTTCAGTTAGCCACTGTATAGTACAGCATTAGTTTTTGATGCAACGTTCAACAATTAATTAGTTGCGTATAACACCCAGTGCTCATCACAACACGTGCCCTCCTCAATACCCATCACTTGGCTGCCCCATCCCTCCCACACCCCTCCCCTCTGAAACCCTCAGTTTGTTTCCCCAGAGTCCGTAGTCTCTCGTGGTTCATCTCCCTCTCTGATTTCTCCCCCTTCAGTTTTCCCTCCCCACCCCTATGGTCCTCCGTGCTATTGCTTATATTCCACATATAAGTGAAACCATATGATAATTGTCTTTCTCTGCTTGTCAAGTCTTGTTAAAAGGAAATGCAGAGCAACTTATAGGGTCTAATCCCAATTTTTGTCAAAATTAAACCAGGGATATAGATGTGGATATATTCGTATGTGAATAGTAAAGATTGAAAGAATACAGAGGAAGGAGTAGAAGTTGTGTTGCAGAAGTTCTTCTTTTTTTTTTTCCAAAAATTCAAATACTGTTGAAGAATAATCTAAAGTGGCCCAAGAAAAGTTGGTTCGAGGATCAACAGACACCTTTGCCTTCTTTCTGCTCAGACATCTGTTCTAGACATCATCACAATAATCACAAGCCCTGGAAAGGCAACATGTCTCCTCCAAGGAATGGTAAATTTGAAAGAAAAGAAAAGTGGTAGCAATAGTTTAACTACTAATGTCGTGAAATTGTCATTTTAGGCAGAAATACAACCAATGTCTTTTGAGCAGCTACTTTGTTCCCCTGGAAGAACTGAAAATTTTATTAAAAGGGCAAGACTGTCATGACTAAAAAGATAATTACATGGTGTAGTTATTTAATTAGAGCTGTTGAAGAAATCGGGATGAGCGGCCCAAATTTAGCTCATCAACACTGAAAGTGTTCACGTGGAAGCAAAATGGCCGCCAGGAAGGCAGTGTGTGGATGGTTTCCCACATTTGGGGAGGAACCTGGACTACATAATCTGCTCTGAGACTGCATAGAACAAACAAGAGTTGCTTTTCAGGTAAGAGTAAAGAATGAACATCTGTAGCCTAGCAGGGCCTAACGGAATAGACGGGGCTGGG